GATGTGGATCCATCAAAAAGACCAACTATTAATGAGCTTTGGCCATTTGCTGTAAATAAACATGAAGCAATTCTTAAAAATGAAAGCTTAACAAATAAAAGCTTAAAAAATAATAGTTTAATAAAAAGATTATTCAAATTTTCTAAAATTAAAAACCGTGAAAGTGAATTTAATGATGATGGTAGCAGCAGCAACAATGGTGATGGCAATGGTGGCGGTGGTGGCAATTTGCAACAAGTACACAGACCACATCCAGAAGCATACCATACAAGTAGAATATTAGATGATGAAATTGCTAAATCAGAAAGCTTAAAATTTTATACGAGTAATGATAGTTCATTAAATGATCTTGATTTTAACTCTCTTCTCTTAAACGAAGGTGAATTAAATTCTCATTACTAATTATTACACATTAATTATTATTACTAATAATCTTTTTTATTCGCATTTAACTAATTAATAAACATTTGATTCTATTAATAACAATAAAGGTATTGATCAATTGGAGAATTGATTCGGTTTATAAACTGAGGTTTTATATTGTAATGTTATTTAATTTATATAAGGTGAAAAAAAAATACAACTCATTAAATTTATACTATTGACGATTTTGTATTAATACCTTAGTGCTAAAATATATTTTTTATTTTCCGTTATAAAGCAAATCTCAATATTCTTAAAAAAATACATAAATATATTTCTGAGAAAAATAAATATTACTCTTGAAATTTTCATATTAATATATATAAAGTACATTTTCATGTATTTAAATTTAGATATATAGATATCCAAGATTTATTTATTTATTTTATTTGAACATGTTATTAGGTGAAAATTTTTAAATTTGTTTCTTTATTATCAGCCAGGAACATTTCTTTCAACAAATTCGGAGTCTTGTTTATTTAAAACTATCTTTAGTTCAATTAAAATTAAACAAAAAAAAAATTGTAAAAAGAAATATGCAAATCCATCTGAAAACATTGTTATCTAAAAATGTAACAAGGGAAGAAGAGGAGAAAATTCTCTGAAGTTTAATATTAAGCTGCTTTATGTTTATGAGTGAACAAGCTTTATTAAGCTTGGACGAGAGATTGGTTGATATTTTGTTGGGTAGAACATTGAATCATATTTAATTAAATTTGTTTGTCTTGACGACAAAAAAAAAAAAAATTGCGGCAAGTGAAGAAGTTGTTAATTGGCGATCCTTTGAACGGCAATAAAAATTTTAAAACCCCAATCGGACGTATAAAGTTTTCCTGGAGAAGAAAAAAAAATTTTTTGTATATATACATGCATATGAATTTTAATGGGATTGGAATCACAAAGTTAATGTTTTTTTTTGTGGTCTTTCCTTTTACACATTGAATCACGGTTTAGCGGATACGAATTAAGAATCTCGGTTTAATGGATGAAATTCCATAATTAACCTTAATAAAAATCTTCTAGATATAACTGATTTCTCGAAAATTTCCCAAACTATTCGTTATACAAATTATTGATGCAAATTATTTTTTTTATAAAATATCAGTCACATGATTTGCCACGTTTGTTTTTTTGTAAAAAAAAAGAAATCGTCATTAACAATGACATCACCAAATCAAAAAGTATATTAATATAAATTATTCGACAAAGAAAAAATTTTTACGCGTTCAATATTATTTTAACAAAATGGTAAAACAAAAGAAAGTACCAGCTGCCAAAGATGATGATGGTATTTTATTATTAACATCCATCACTTATTATTATTATGAGAGCTGAAAATTAAAATCATTCAGTTTTAATGATTTTAGTTGAACAAATGGTCATGGAATATTTGAGAAAACAAAATCGTCCATATAGTGCCAGTAAGCCATAAAGAATTGGAATGTCTAAATTTTTAATAATGACATTGATATTAACATTAATACATTAATAATAACATTAATATCAATAATAATATTTATTGGCTGATGTTATAAATAATCTTCGTAGAGCTGTCACAAAACCGTTGCACAAAAGGTCTTAAATTCACTTGTTGAAAAAAATGAAATTAATTGTAAACCCTATGGAAAACAATCTGTTTATTATATAAAACAAGTGAGAAAACAATAATTGCTTAATAAATTAGCAATCACTATTATTATATTTGTTATATATATATATATAATAGGATCAATTAGAATCACCTTCTAGTGAAGAATTGCTTAAATATTTATAAATCAGCATACTAATATTCACGTGTAATCCTGACTAATTGCAAAATATTATCAATAAACGAATAATTAAGACAAAATAATAATTTGTTTTCTTGTTTCAAGAATCTTTTTGTCCTACTCCAGTACTTTTTTTTTTGAGTGAGTGAAAAGAGAAAATTTCCTTGATGGAACAAATTGTCATCAATTGGCTAGCGTAAAAAATTTCCACATCTTACTACATATTAATATTAATATTAATATTTGGGCAACATTATTATTACAAAGAAATTTCAGGGTCAAATATTGTTTAACATCACAATTGTAAAATACACAGTAACAGTAATAGGATTATCCCCATATAATATAAATCATTCCTGTTCTAATGAAAAGGTATTTTTGCTATTAGAGACAAAAATGTCTAGACCTTCAGAATTAGTCATTAAAATATGTTGTTATCTTTACAATTTTGTTGGATAGTGGCTAAAGAGGAAAAGCCGTTGTTTCGTGACCTTTACTAATGATTAATAGTTTGGCCAACGGTTTTAATTATTAGCTAGGTGCCCTTTTATATTTATTTACTATATTACTTTGTGGGACACCTTAAGTAGTTATATAAATTTTTTTTAGCCGCGACGTATACTGAAAACTAACAAAGGATGGGTAAATGTAGGGTTTGGTATTGGAAAATCTCATATATGCGCTTGTATATAATAATATATTCACTTTGTAGTTTTTTAATATTAATATTTTTAGTTAGATGTTGTCAAAGATTTATGTATGTAGTCAATAGCATTGCAATTCATTGATTTCAGCAAAAGACTATATTTTTAGGTTGTTGACGATCTAATTGTTCACTATTTCTTTGAAGACACAAAAAAGTTTGGCATTTCATTTAAAATAAATAAACTCCAATATAAAAAGACACGCCCAAATGGCATAGGCTGGACATATATTAATTAATATGACAATCTGTTATGCGAATCTCAGAGGCAAAAAATAACTTTAACATTGAGATTACTTTTTGTTTATGAAATAAATAATGTATGTATTAAATTTGATGAAAGTTGCTATATAATAACGAATGCGAAGAATATAATTTCTGAATTGATGCTAACGACTAAATTGCCTGTAATAATAGTTTAAGAATATTTTATTGATGGTATATCCCAATTGGTATAACTACTATTATTAGGGTTTCTATTCGAATAAAACGAATAATATGTACAATCCGATTAAAAATTTTCTTTATCAGTTTTATCAGTTCTATTTTTTCTTCTATTCATAGTCTTTGTGATAATAATAGTCGTAGTTCTCGATTTAGCATACCTCGATTTAACGGATCTTGATCATAATAATAATAGTAAAACTCTTCTGACATTGATATAACAGATTTTTGAATAAAATTTTCAAATTGCCCAAAACCAAGGTTTACTGTGTAATTGTTATAAATGAGAATAATAGCAATAGTGATTGATGTATTATTTTTTTTCTATTAGCAATTTGAATAAGAATTATTTGTTTTTATTCTTTTTTTTTTATTAACTGATTTAGCTATTTTTGATTAAATAAAATAAGATTCTATAAGCAGAACTACAAATAAAATAGGTAGAAAGAAATAATATTTTTAAACGCCACAGATTCTTGGCATGACCGCCGCAGATTTCGCCGTAGAAATTCATCGTCTCTGGACTTTTATAAAACTGTACACCTTAATAAACGTTTACTGTGTATTTAACCTAAATCAAATTTGGGGTTTGCCAGTAATTATTATAATAGAAAATAAATAATGTCAAAAGGATTAACATTGATAGCGAGAAAGGAAGAAAGTTGACCAAGTGCATTATTACCACTGACTAAAAAGATATAAAATCAATATTTTTTGAATATTAAAATTTCCTCATTCACAAGGTCAATTCTTGACTGTTGTCAAATAAATTGAATTGTCGCCCAAATGGTTGATTTTCATAATAATAACGAGGAAGAATAACATGTGTGAAATAACTTCTGTTGAAAAAGTTTTACCTGGAAAGATTTTGTATTCTCAGGATTTTCATTTTCTCTTTGGTTTTTTTTACCAGAGAAAGAAACCAAATAGTTGATTATCACTTTCGCCATTTCGAATGGAGTTTCAATGCAGAATTGATCTTTCTATGAGAGATCTGAAAAAAGAACAATTTTTTATACAATATCTTAATTTAATCTGATAAGAAATTTTAAAGGCCAAAAATTAATCTATATATATTTAGACATTAAAATAATTTGTTTTAATCGATCAAGTTTTACAAATCAATTTTTACATGATAACCATAATAATAACACTATATTGTTTGACAAGCCAAATCTTATCCGCCATCTAAGCTTAATCTGCGCACCGTATATGCTTATTAATTTCCTAAACAACTAGTAAAATTTTTATAAAGTATATATACACTTTGACTAAACTTTTACATTGTGATAATCAATAATCCTTAAACAATCAACCAGGCAATACTTATCAAGTGATCCATTTTCGCAGAAGGCAAGTAATTGCCTTGCAAAGATTTGTCTAAGATCAAGTTCTAGAATCTGAGCTGCATGTGCCGTTGCAAATCTTCTACAAAAGTCTGGAAAGTTAGATTCACAAAGAGAATTACTGTATATATTTGAAATTGAAATTGAAATTAAAATAAATTCAAATTTTAATTATTATTTTTTAATAAATAAAAAAGGTTCCAGCTAAAGCAAGATGCTAACTAATTGACATATATCAATATACAATATTTTACCTTTCTTGATCCACAAATCTACACCACGATTTCATTAAAAGTTTGGCACCATCTGCGATATCTCCTGTCGCATCTATTTCCTAAAAAAAATTTATTTTCATTTTTATTTTTATACGGAAAAAAATTGATTGATTTTTCCAAATATAATGATTGATTTTTTTTTTCAAACCTCATCATTTTGTTGTTCAGTCCAATGTTTACAATCATTATTTTCAGCAATTATATCATTATCTGCAATGAATGGAGCAAACGTACAAGAATTCACAAAAGCTCCTGATGTAAATTCTGTTGAAGACAATGGTGGTGATGGCAAAATAATCCTTTCTTTATGAGAAAATAATTTTGGAACATGGGCTTCATCAACTTTAAACATAAAAAGTTCATTATCTGAATTTTTATAATTTCTATGAACAGTAATGGTTGTTTGATTTTTTTGCTATAAAAAAAAAATACATTTATTAAAAAAAATATTGAATTGTTTTATTTATTTTAATTCACTTACTTTCATAATATATTCAAAATGATGATGAAAACTTTGTAGATGAAGCATTAAACAATCAATATCTCTAAACACTAAAGTATCACACCACACACATATAAATCCAATGACTTCTTGAATCTTTTCAATACCGCTAGCATGGAAGGCATAGTAAAGTGTTGTTGGCTCATTACAAACTTTCTCTTTGCCTTTGTTTGGTGTTTGGTTGCAAGTCTCTTTACTTTTGCAAACTTCCTTACTTTTGTTTGATGGATATAAATAAGTGGGCCCTTTAAATATAATCAATGATTTATTAATTTAAAAGTATTATGAGTAATTAATTGGATGTATGGTAATTATCATAATAATTACCAACAAACCAACGAAAACTTCTCCGAAGGCTTGTGGGACCACACTATTTGCTTCGATCTCGTCAACACGATTGTCATCACTAAGTAAATAAAGAAAAGCAAAGTTTATTTGTAAGTATTAAGTTAACAACATTACAAAGAGTGTTTTTTCTCTTGCTCTAGTTCTTTAATAATACTTACTTATATATTCGTTCAGTTTTGCGATCTTTTCGATGGATTGCTCTTTTGTGCATTTTTTATTTTTTTATTTTTTTTGATAGTAATAATAGATCCAAAACGCGAAAATAATTTTTTTATTGCAGTAATGTTTTTGTAGTACAAACGCCAACAAATTAATTTTAAATTATTTTCAACACCTTGGCTTTATTTTAGATAAAAAACAAAGAAGAGAACTAGGAAATTCATTTATTAATAAATATATTTAATTTTATTAAATTCTTCACCTTCTACATTGTCCTCCTTTTCCTTCATTTTATCAACGACTAGTTATTTATCTCAATAGAAAATCACCGATTAACATATTGGTAGTATGTATAAACAGAAATATAAATAACACGAACGAATGGATGTAGTTAATATTCTTTTAGATGATATTGGTAAACATGAACAATATTTATTTTGCGATATTTAAAATATGATTGTTTAAACATTTTTATTTGTATTTTCTTTTTGATGTTAATAATATCTGGATAGTTTTTTCCTTTGTTTATTTGAAAAAGAAATTAAATAGTCAATTGACATATTTACCATTTCAAGTTTTTTTCGCCCCTCTGACGGATTGCAAAAGATCTGAAAAAAGAAACCATTTTTTAATATAATAATAATAATTCTAAGAAATTTAAATTATTTATCCTGTTGTGTAATTTAATTAAAAAAAATCACAAGGTTAATCCGGGGGATTTTCAAATTCAATTTCTTTGCTTACATAATAATAATAATAATAACATTGCATTTTTACGAGTCAAAATTTTTTTTAATAATAAATAATTTTTTTTTTAGAGTCTCATTCACCATCTAAGTAATTATCATTGAATCTGCAGAAGATGTCGAATAGTTCTACTTGGCTATCTTTAGCTTGTGTAAACAAGTATTACATGTTAATTTTTAATATAATTTATGGGTAACCTTATTTTTAAATTATTTTTTTTATTTATGTATTTCATTGAAAATGATCCTCTATTTTAATTAATTTCCAAATAAAAGAAAGAAATAATTATGATTTTTTTTTTTTTTTATGAACAAGTAAATTATTTATTTTCTGTTAAAAATTTTTTTTGACGATTTCTTTGTGAAAAAAATAGCCGTAAAAGGACAATGACAATTATCATTGTAAAAGTGGAGTACATTTTGTAATTAATTGGTTATGACGCATCATTTTATAATGTCACACAAGCTCACGAAAACTTTTAAAAAATAACGCCAATTCGAAACAAAAATAGCAATTATTCGTTATTACAATTCCGATTGATTTTGATTTGTTCAAATAAATATTTAATATAGTGATACATTCCCTCTTCTATATATGCAATTTTTCTCTTTCTCCAGCTGTAACGAGTCAATGGAAAATAAATCAGGGTAACTATATATAACGAAATTTGTTTTAATCATCTTCAAGCTTCTGGTAATAAATTTAATATAAATTATTATATCATTAATGTAAACAATTTGTGTAATAATAATATTTTCCTTTGTTGCATTTCCATATTTATATCAATATAATTCCTCCATCTAGTATAGTTGTACTCACCCCTCAATTAAAACAAATACTTGTACTTTTGATTAATAATTATACTATATTACCATATAGAAAAATTGATACAAAAATTTTCCCTTATTATTATTTCGATTGATCCTGTTCGAATTTTATTTATCTTTGTTAAAAAAAATATTATTATTTATTAATTATAATTATGATGGATATTTTTTTTTATGCAGTCAATATTTTAATTAGGGGTTTTAGCTGTAATTAAAGGTCTTGAATAATATTAATATATACAGTATTAAAATTAAGTGTGGGGTATGTGTGTGGGGTATATCATAATTTTCTGGAGATAGTTTCTAAATTTGTGGGAATCTGTACTATAGTCACACATCGAAATTTACTACCCTGCGGCTGGATCAATTATTATAACTACCAAATTTAGAATTTTTAACCAAGAAATTCAATATTAATGAATAAACATTAACATCAATGCACAATAACACTTGTAACGAATAAATCGTTTTATTTTTCCTTTTATAGTAGTTACTATTACGTTAATATACAGGCTAGCTTATTTTTTTTGATGCGATTTTACTAATTATAATTTGGACCATTTTGTTATCAATACCTAATTATAGTTTAGAGAATAACAAAGAAATTTCAGTTAAAATAATTATACGGGAAAATCTTAAACAAAGATAAAATTGTATATTTGTGTATATACATTATATGATAAAAGATGGGACCTATATATGACATTTCAAGCCAGTATGTTGGGCACCATAACCAATTACTTCACCAATAGTAAAACTAAACACAAAACAATTTATATGGTAACGAAGTAGCTAGGAAATCAAAATTTCTAGATAATAACAGCATAATTATTACAAATGACACAAAGTAAAAAAGAAATAGTAATAGGGATGAAGAAACGGAAACGGAAATGAAAAAAAAAAAAAATAATAAATAATGATAATGAACCAATTAATGCTAAGATTAATGTTGTAAGTTTCAGATAGTACAATACCTATCCACCATATTAATCTCGATGGCGCTGTTTATGGAATAAATGTTACTATTGTAGCCAATTCACCAAAAGTACTATAACTTTTAATTCTCATGCATGATATTCATATCATGATTACTCTTATACATTACATTAAAATCAATAGTGTCACTATCATATGATCAAGTTATTGATTGAATTCATCCAGAAACAATTTTTCAGGGTGGGTTGAATGTATAACATATTCTGCATGCTGATTATTATACATTATCAAAGAAGGAAACAGGAAGAAGACGAAAATTATCGTAGTGACAATAATGAAAATTGAGATGCAAATTTGCTATCTTCTTTGAGACAAATCATTTTTTTGATATTCCTTGTCGAGTAGAGTCATTAGTTCAAAGAATTCTATTATTTTTTGGCTCTGATTTTTTCCATTCATGTGTAACAACTATTGAAATTTCTTGCATAATTTTTTTTGGTTTTTTTTATTCTTTTAATATTTACGAAACTTTATAAATTTATTTGCCAATCTTAATGATCTTGAGAATAAATATATTTTGATTTCGTGATGATTTTCTGGATTGTCTTTTGAAAGAAAATAATCTATTAAGACATAAGGTACAAGCATGTTTTTAATTGATTAAAGTAAGCTTTGATTTTAAAATCAAATGACCGATACATATTTTTTGGCGTTTTTTGTTTTTTTTTGAAATTAAACGTAAAAACCAATGAATGTTACCAGAGCCATGCATGTCTTGCATAATGTAATAGCGCTTTGTTGTTTTATAATCACAAACATAAGGACATAAAAAAGGTCTTGTACCATGTAAATATGCTGATCAATTTTATTGCGAGGCTAACAATATAGTTATTTTATCCAACAATCTTGAACACACATTCCCAGTAGGGGAGTATAGATTTTAAAGAGTTTCTTTTAAAATTCTTATAGCTCCAGAAGCAGAAAAATTAAAAATGATTTTTACGCGAATTTTAGGATTTGTGTTAGTAAACATCTGAAAAAATCATATTTAATAATATGTAAGTAAACACATCAGTGTTAATAACATTTGCAACCATTTTCAGAATCGGGCATAACAGTTTGTGTAAAGGCGGTTTCCTTTAATATTAATTGATAAGATTTTTGTTAATTAATTTTATAATGACGAATTACTATTTTATTATTATTATGATTGTAGGAGACATAAGTTTAGAAAAATCGGTGGTTCTTTGGAATTTTTTTTAAAGAGAATGTAACGCATTTGATAAATAGGTAAACAAATTTAATCAAAATAATGTTACAAAGAATAAATATTTTATTTAAATATCTTTTGTACAATCTACAAACTTTAATTATCGAATTTTACATTGAAACATTAAGAATAAATATTTTAATTGCATTTTTTTCCCAAGCACAATGAAATCTTTCACCCGAACCCACTTCTCTAAAATTTATTCTACCATTTCAGTGTTGAAAATTCAATGTCCGCAATGTCCCGGGTGTAACATTATTATCCAATCAAATTTTGAATTTATGGAGATAAGTTGCACAACGAAATTTCAACACTGCACCAATTGATTTTCTACGGGCAAGCTTTACGTTGAAAATTAAGGTTTTTATTGTTTATTTGTGGGGATTGTGTTACATATTGAAAATCAAACGATCCAATCAATGCATTATTATTATTATTATTTATTACTTATGTTATTATTTATTGTTTTTTTATTTTTTTTATTTATTACTTATTGTAAAATACTGTCATTTTTTTTGACAAGCAATTGCAAATAACTTGTCATACATATGTGATTTTTTTAGTTGTACGCCAAAATTTTTAATTTTTTCTGTACTATTTTTTTTTTCTGTATATAACTATTTTGCTTCCAAAGTTATAACACTTGATTATTAAAAATTAAAAAGTGAACAATCAGCAGAAAATTTATTATGAAAAAGAAAATAAAAAAGTAAATAATGAATGATACAAATAATATACAGAGTTGGAATATCAATCAATCTAATGAAGAAAAAAGAAGAAGAGAAGAATGGAAGAAAAAAAAACGAAATTTAAATCTCCTTGTTTGAGATGGTGCTAATATCTAACACCCCAATGTCGGGTGTTATAAAACTTCAATTACGTCATTGTTTATTCGTATTTTATAAGACATTTAATGAGCGATTTTTTAAATAAATAGTGACTAATTTGACTTTTGAAAAAAAATTTTAATTATTCATTGATTTATATTCTTATTTATTTTTCACATTAACTTATTTTATAAAAAAAAAAAATGGAACATTCATTAAATGTAAAAGTAATTAATAATAATAACGTCATTACATCAGCATCGTCGTCGTCATCGTCGTCGACGACTCTACCAATATCCGCCCACTCTTTTTGTTCTTTATCTTCAACCAACACTGAAATTTACAACATGTCCGATTCGATATCGAGTCAATCATTGATTCAGTATGTTCAATCTACTGTTACACCTTTAACACAAAAAGTAGATTCTGAACATTTGTCTTTAGAAGAACAATATATTAACAACAACATTACGAATTTGAATATGACAGCCATTGATGATGATAATGATGATATTAGTATCAGTACGGATATTGAGAATGATGATAATAATATAAGTGATAATAATAACACCAATGAATTTACTACAATAATAAGACTAACAAATTTCATCGAGGCTATAATGAATCAACAACCAGATAGTACGCATCCTCAACCACCTGAAATAGATATTGATATTGGATGTTTTTATTATGGCACAGCAACACCAATTATTCTCGACGATACAAGTTTACCTCAAGCGGACTATTGTGAAATTGATAATATTTTTCCTCGTTACTATCAGCTCGTTGATCAACAATTTAATCTATTTTGATTTCATTGGCTAAATTTTTCCTAAATATACAAGGAACGAACTCTTAAACATGTAATCTTTTATTGATTTTAATTTATTACTTAAATTATATGCTATAGGAAACAACTTATATTTATACATAAAAGTTATTCTATTAATCACTCGTGTAACCTCATTTATGCAATTAATTATCCATTTTCACTTATACCTACTGAAGATAAATAATACGTTAATCAAACGATATATTATTTATTCAAATGTAGTTGTAATATATTCATTACATAATAATAAGCATCATACGTAAGAATAAATTTTTATAAAAGTTAATAGATATATTTTACATTTTACTATTTTTAATTTTATTCTGTGGTAAAGTTCATAATCATTTTGATTTTGATTTGAGGATCCCATGACATTATGAACCTCATTTAATGGGATTTTTTGAATTATAAGAAGAGATAAATTCAGCACCACCTTCATTATTATTTTTAGCATTCATTTGTAGAATCATCATTATTGTTTATTATTATAATATCATTATCATTTTTAGTGCTACCAGGTAACCTTGAAATGACTTATTTTAAGATCAATATATGACCTGCCTCATTTAGCTGTGCAACTACAAATCCAAAGAAATACACATTTTAATAGACCTTCTGATGTGTGATGGCGTTTGTGATCAAATATTTGAACCATTTCCTCATCTGTTAAAAGGATTGGCTCCATTATGAGTGGCGTCATCCAAAATCTTTTAGTTCTACCATTCTAAAGTGTAAAATATCTCGTACAGTAACAAATTTAACGTCTTCATATACATTAAAGGTTATTTAAATTTAAACATATCTTGATAAACTTGTTGATATTATACAATAATCTGACTTTATATTCCTTTTCTCTTGTCTTTACCACAACAATAAATTCACATGATGCAAATCCTTTTGTCAAATAATGTCAATAACAGGTTGTGTACCATTAACAAATTCTTCAAATTGACTATACCATAATCTTGTATTTTTCGCTGTATTTTGTGGTTTTGTTACATTAACATATTTGATGACTGTATCTTCAAAAGATTATTCAAATTTGTCTTTCTAACAGAAATAAAATTTATTAATAAAAATATATTATAGTAAAAATAATAATGAACTTCGATATAATTTAAATTGGAATTCTAAAATATATTTATCAAGAGGAAGTGAAGATAACTTCTAAATACATCAAGGATTCTTTAATTCTTGGGTTGCAACTTCAGGATTCATTGAGGCAGTTGTAAAAGGAGGATTCTTTTGTTATAATTAAAAGTACCTTTTAAAGTGAATATTCAAATAAAACGAATTAAGATTTTTACCATTTTATGAAAGAAATTTTGGAATTGTAATTTTTTTTTGTAATATAAAAGTTTATTTTTGAGTAAGTATAAGTAAGTAAAAATGGACAATTACTTAAAAATGACACGGGATAACTAACTGTTATAACTTGTAATATAATCACTGTCTATTATTTCTGACATTTACAGGTCCTAAAATTTTCACTTCTAAATAATAATAATTTTCAATCTCCAATAAAATTTCGTTCAAATATAGGGTTATTATTACGATCATGATCAATTAATTCATTGTGACGCTTTTGACATCAAAATTTATGTTTATATTTTCAATATTGGGACTTTGACTTATTTTTGTGCATTAATCTTTCCGCAAGTTTTATTATGTTCTTGATTATCACATACTATGCAAGAACCAAAATTTTTTCTTTTTGCACTTTTGTTTCATTTCTAGAGATGTTCCAATGCGCACTGCATTGTGCGCATCGTGCGCACGTAATTTTTGAAATCATGCGCATGTAATTTTTTTTGACATAGTAATGAATGTAACACAAAAAAAATAAAAATTTTTTTTTTATTATTATCCAAATGACTCAAGAAAATTTTGGTCACAATTACTACATTATAAACAACATACTGGCTTG